TGGTTTTGAGCCCCGCTTTAAAGTTGAAGTGTGGAAATTCCAGGAAGGGTAAATTTGAGTCATTTGAAAGAAAATGGTTACACCTTGAGACCATAATGTTAAGTGAAATACATGAGACCCACAAGCTTAAATATCCCATGGTTTCTCTTACATGAGAAACCCCAAGTATAGAGCTGAAGAGCAAAGGAAAAGACACATGGCAGGGAAAAGGAAGCAGGAAATTCCTTGGGTGTTCGGCCCACACACCGCACTCCTGGTCCCATGGTAGGATTCCGGAGGTCCTCCAACGCTGGTCCCCTCGAATTTTGAGTCCAGCTGTTTCTGAGATCTTAGAATGCAAACAGGAAGTAGCAGCACCCTGCCAGGCTCTTCAGGAAAGAGACAGTAAGTGAAGCTGAATTGCTTCATCTCAAAATCAGTTAGCTTTGGAATATCGCTAAATGAAACAGTCATTCATGAAATTTCTAATGATTCTTAATTTGTAGTGAAATGCAAAAGGAAAAATGTCAGATTACGTGTTCTTTTGAATTAAGCACCCCCGTGTGCCATTCCATTTGCATACGTAAGGCTGGACAGTAATATATAGGGTATGGGGAAGCTTTTTTCTCTAGAAAGTGATTACTTTGTCACCACCAAGGAGTAAACCGTTTTGCAGACTCTGCACTGGAACTGAGCTTGTTTCACTAACCAGCTAATCAGAAGTTATTTAGGCAAGAGCCCTCAAGAAAATTATTACTTACTTTTATTCTTTATTCTTGAATGAAAAATTCATTTCCCATCTTACACAGATAGCAAGTAGGAAGAAAGGTAAATTGAAAGCCATAGCTAATCATGACTAGAACTATTTAATGCTTTGACACTTCTTTAGAATTGTTTCAGTTCTGTAAATTCCTTATTTGTGGCATTCAATTATACTAAGTAGCCAAATAAATGCACTAATGACCCAGATTATAGCCCAGCAGTCACTATAACATATACCGTAAGTTCTCTCCATTCTTTTGAAAGCACACACCATTAATGCAGAACGGTCCTCCAAGCACTTGAATCGTTACAGGCCATGAGAGCGCGTCTGTCCGGTGGGACACGGGTGTGAGCAGAATGGCACCGGTAGTGTAGTTCCTTCGCGGGCCCCCATTGACTGTTCCCAGGAGACAGAAGAAAGAGCACAGAGAGCCCATTGGCTCCCGGAGTAAGAGGCCAGTAAATAATTGTACTTCCTTGCTTTTAAATACAACAGGATGAAGAAGGACATTGCCAGTGCTCATAAATTACATCCAAATTAAAATCTTAAGGAAACAAAATCACAGTCTATATTTCCAGAAGAATCACAGTGACTCAGTTCTTTTAAAGCTGTGCTTCTGACTGCAGTTGCCAAAATCATTTTTGTTGTGATGCTTTATTTTCAAATAATTATTACCATTCTAGAATATTGAAATTTTAAGTTGAAGTTAAGAACTTGAAAGCAAAGAATTTTAAACATACATATTAAGTAATATTCCAGGTTAAAAATGTAAGAGGTGGGAATTGAAGGAGACAAACAGCAACAACTGGAAGTTCTGCTTCAGATTCTTTAACCCAGACACTTGGCAGCACCCTACCTTATGAATTGCCTTCTTATGCATATGTTGCCATGTGCCAGCTCTGTTTTGGCTTAAAATGCAGTCACTATAACAAGATGGGGAATATATAAATATTCCTCACTTTCATGCCCATCCTACAGAACTAATAGTTTCTGCATACAAACTATGATTGGTCTCTCAAGGATTTTTCTGAAATGTATTAGTGTCTATAAAACAGGCTAGATAAGGAACACCACAACTGCCTATAAAGTACTGTGATAACGGAACTGAAGGTAAAGACATTTGAGTCCCCTGCTGCCAGAGGGGAGGGGCATTGAGGCCCACAGGTCTGTAACACTTGACTCTGGTGACATGGGATCCCTGGGACCCTGTGGACTCCAGACCCAGAAAAGACTCTCCAGACTCACTTCCTTGGCCCCAGCCGCACCATTGCACTGTTGAATGCCACCCTGCACGTGGCACTTTCATCCTCATAGATCTGCAGATTCTTCAGTGCACTCAGAATTTGACGACAATAAAAGGTCTTGGAGATCCCCCTCCTCCTGTGACCTGGTGCCCGCATGCTGCACAGAGCGGGCAGCAGCCTTTCCCGGAGACACACGTGTCACACCTCGCCTGTGTGTCACTGTGACAGCCTGGGTGGGTGCCCCCTGGGTCCCCCAGGTCAATCTGCAGGTCTTGGCAGCTTCGCCTGAGAAAACACAAGTGACCTCGCTAACATCTAGACGGGTACCCTCTGGTGTCTTGGAACACTTCGCAGACACAGAGTTAAAAGCAGGCACAGCTGTTGGCCTGGAACACGCTGACTCTGTAGCTGCAATGTGTAGTGGCCACCACCATGCTGTCGTGTCAGCATACCGCGCACGCCAAAGCAGCTTCTTCCTGTGCGTGTGATGCGTGCTCTGGTTCTCTTGCTGTGATTAACAGTGATAGAAAAGAATGCAGTTTTTCCTCTGATGTGAGCGTCAGAAGGAGGGACAAAAAGTATGTAACGCTTTTCAAATCTTATTTTAACAGTATGTTGAAAAATCTCAGTGTATCTCTGGTTTTCTCTTGATTCACCACATTAATGGCAAGGAGCAAATGCATGAGTCCAACAGCAATTAGAGTTCTGTGCAGCACGTTTGTACTTCTCAGCTTGCACATCCGAGCATGCCATCACGTACTTCAGTGCTGCAGCTGCGGAGCCGGTTCCCGGTGACCGCAGCGGTTGGGCCTCTCCAGCGCTGTTCCAGCACGAGGCTGTGATCCCTCCTACCCTGAGGAGCCTCAGGTTACGGCTTTGCTTTACTATTTCTCCACTACATGGAAACTTCTAGTTTTGCTTTATAGGTTATTGACTTGATTCAGAGAAGAAATGCCTGGAATACGAATGGATGTGTCATAACAACACATTAGTGGCCACACGTGAATAAAATCAGAAAGTAGTGTTCATCCCACGTGAATGGCTGCACATTCCTTCTGTCTAAACCATGCAAAGAAATGCAGACATGTTCCCAGATCCTAAAATTTAAGACATTCTCTAAAATACATGAACACACAGTCTTCGGGTCTCTATGTTTTCAGGCATCTGTACTTTCACTCAGTGCACTGTACATTTGTGTTTTGGAAGAAAATCGGAATTGGGCCCTGAAAAGAGCAGGCACAGGAGTGCGGCTGCCCAGGCCCCGGGCGCCCCGGCCCTGGTCACTGTCCTCTTCCTAACCCTCCTTCAGCAGCCTGGCCGGGGAGGCAGGGACAGGACTTGCAGGCTTTGCCCGAGCAAAGGATGTTGGTTGGAAAGTTTGAACGATGGCAGTGAGAGCAGCATTTCAATGGGACCTGGAAAGGCAGGAGAATGCGAACTTCAAGACTCAGGGACCTGGCGCAGCTCTGGCTGCCGGCAGTCCTTCTGCCCTGGGTCCCCCTCGCCTCACTGATGCTCAGCCTCGAGAAGCAGCTTGGGGTCCTCCCTGCAGAACCGTGCTGTGGTCCCCAAACATCACATTGTAGATCCTAGCTTTGGGCACTCACAGAATTCCTCCTGTTTATCTTGGCATCTGCCACATTCCATTGGAATTCTTTCTGCTTCGGTCTCTGTCTCTATCTCACAGCAAAGACTGAGAAAAGAGTGATTTATGACCAGGCCTATAACCCAGTGTGTGCATAGTCCTTGCAATAAATGTCCATCTGAACTAACAGAAATATATCCGTGTGTAGGTATCAGAAATTTATTGGTCAGAAGTATAATTGGCTGTATTAATCATACGAGTTACCATGTATTTCTTAAAGTTTTAAGTGGTTCTCCACAGTATACTCAAGAGTCTGACCATGTGTCAAGTTGTTTCACGTACATTTGTGTGTATACATATGTATAACTCTTTAAAAAGACGAGCTCTTTTGAAAAGGCATTTCTCAGGTGGAGGATATAGCTCAGTGGTAGAACTCTTGCCTGGCATGCATGAGGTCTTGGGTTTGATCCCCAGCACTGCAAAAATTTTAAAAAAAGCACTTCTCCCAGAAAGCAGTGAGCCATGAGGCAGTGATGTTTGAAGCCCATGCCTTTAACCTCATCTGTATTTGTATAACATAGATTAAACGTTATACAAAACCCCTGCATAGATTAAATAAGATAGGGAATGAGTTAGTGCCTTAGAAAATACATGTGGAAGACAGATGAAATAATGTGTTTATCTAACATAAGAACAGAAATCTAGTAAGTGGAAGGAGGACTTGGAGAAGGTCAAAATACATAATATTTGCAATTTATCTTCTACTTAAAACTTTGAATATGTCATGCACATCTAAATTCTCATGGCATCTACATTAGCTTTCCATTACTATAATAAAATACCCGAGATAATCAAGTTAAAAAGAACAGTTTATTTGGCTCATAGTTCGGAGGTTGTAGTTCATGGTCAGTTGGTTGAGCTGCTTTGGCACCTGTGCTGAGGCCGCATCTCATGGCGCAGGCACACGGCAGGAAGCTGGTCTTTCCACAGCAGCCAGGAAGGGGAGAGGGGAGGACAGTCCCCCATGCCACGGGCCTCCCACCTCCCTGCTGCCTGTCGAGCTCAGGCTGTGGGGCCTTCGAGATCCAGGCCCCACAGCCTCTAAGGCCAACATGAACTAAAATGTGCAGGGGTTTTGTGCGGAGTAGGGTGTGGATGGAGTTTTGGTCTGGCTTTATTTTCTACTTCAAGTCGCTGTCCTGAAATACTCATTTATCAACTGCAAGCAGATAAGCACTTCTTTCTTAAGTTGAAACTAGTTTTCCATTTGCAGATAATAAAAGCCTAAAACTAATAGCCAAAAACGCCACCTGGCTTTATGAGGACAATTCGCCAGGGTGCCACTCGGAAGAAGCTGCCCCTTGCTCCTTCTCCATAGTGTGGGAGCTGGCCCCGTCTGACTGGTAACTCTCCACGTTCCTCTCTCTAGTGGCATCGGGAGGAACTGGCCCTGGGCCTCCGGAGGCAGCAGCATTCTGGCAGAATTTGGGACGCTGCACCTGGAGTTTATGCACCTGAGCCACCTGTCAGGAAAGCCCGTCTTCGCTGAGAAGGTGATGTTCTCTGCATTGCCTTGCAGGCTCTGCCACCACCGCTCTGTCCTGCTGCCCTGGTGGCCGTGCTCCGCCTGGGCTCCCATGACGGCCTGCTGGGACCTGGTGGCCTGAACAACAGAAGTGTGTTTCCCATAGTTCCTGGAGGCCAGGGAGTGTGGGATCAGGGTGTGGACAGGTCGGGTTCGTTCCACGGGTTCCTGGCCCCTGGGTCTCCCTTGAGCTCTTGTCTCCACAGAGCGGGGGGAGCACTGTCGAGTCTGTCAGTACGAGGGCACTGACCTCATCCGGAAGGCTGTATGCCTCTGATCTGACCTCCGGAGCCCACCTCCAAACACCCGTCCACTGAGGCTCAGGCTGTCCACAGGGCAGTTAGGTGGGGGATGCTACGTAGTCCAAGGCATTGTCTCTCACTCTTTCCACGGTTTATCTGCTTTCGACGTATTCTTTTTACTTACCTGTTGTCGGTGTCATTCACTAGAACACAGAATCCCAGAGAGCAGTGACTTTGTGTACCCACCAGCCCAGACTTAGCCCCTCCCCGGGTGGGCTCTGGGTACAGTAGACATCAGCCAATGTGACTGTGCTCACTTACTACTGTTATTTTTGTAATAATAGTAAGCTGATGGCAACTGTCTTTGTTCTAACTCTGCAACGTTTGAGTCAACTCATTTGTCTAAAGTGGAAAAATAAAATCGGGAGAAAAACTGGCGTGAGAATTTTTTAGATCTTCATAGTAATGTTTCATTTTCTGTTGTAGGTCATGAATATCCGAGCAGTATTGAAGAAACTGAAAAAACCCAAAGGCCTTTATCCTAACTACCTGAACCCCAGTAGTGGACAGTGGGGTCAACGTAAGTCTGAAGCTCTTCATTCCTTCAGCTCGGAGGGGTGCGGGGCACAAGGTGGCGCACAGAGGGTGTGCGGGGTGGAGGGCTCCTTTGACGCACAAGCTCTGGCATGGGCTGCACCAGCAGGGATGGGCGTGTCACCTCCACATGGAAGTGTGAGTATGGGCACGTGTGAGCACACATGAAGTCGTTGGCCAGAAAGGGATCTGGTCCAGGGGTGTGTCAGGTGGTAAGTAGCTGGTCGAGTGGAGAGGGCAAGGTTCCTCTTGTTCTAATGACGAGGGTTTTACCGAGTGGCTAGATCATCCTGCTGTTTATTTTCTGTCTTTCTGTGTAGAACTGGGGAATTGGAGGCACAAACAGTTCTTCCTGGACTTAATGTTAAGCTACCAGAGTCTGACAGGAGAATTAATGTAGGAATGAGTGTCACACAAAGACTTCTGATGCTAGAAGCCCTCAATTCTGACTTCAGACAGTTCTGAGCGGGTTGTAAAGATTCAGTAAGTGAAGGACAGGTTCCCAGGCCAGTGTGCAGATGCAGTGGTCGATTAAGTCGCAGCTGAAAGCAAGTGAAGAATATTAAGTGCGTGCACAGCTGTGGGAAGGGCTTCGCTCTGCTTTCCAATCTTACTCTTAGTTTGGCATTTGTATTTAAAGATCATATCCTTAGATGATCACGCTGCACGGCTGCTTTATAAGTACTTTTCGTGAAGAATAACTCATTTGGGGGAACATTCACACCTGTGAGTTGGAGGTGGTCTCGGAAGGCCTCGCTGTTGAACCCTCAGGACCGTAATGAAGGCTGCCACGGCTGTCATTGTGGGCCGCAGGTATCCGAATCCCTGGGGCCGTTTAGGGGCCACAGGGTCAAGCACATTTATGGTAACACTAAGCCTCTCTGCCTTCCCCGTGCTGACATCTGCACTTACGCTGCATGGATGATGGGTGGAACTGCGGAGACCTCCATGAGACCAAGGCCGACACCAGGTGGCGAAATGCTCATTGTGCTGTACTCTACTACTGCTTTAAAGAGCCAGCTCCCCTGTGAATATTCTTAGTGCGGTAGTAAATAGCTGTTGGCTGTGGTACGCATCAGCCCGCATTTATGGCAGTGGGTGTTTCCTGTGGCAGGAGGAAAATGCGCAAAAGCAGTTCCCCCGCATAGCGGAAAGAACGGTCAGTGAGGAAAGGCCCTCACACGTGACTGAGCTGTGAGGTTGCTGTCGATTTCTCACTGTCATTGACTGTTTCCTGTCCCTTACGTTACTGTGACTGTCGTTTCCTGGGTCACTGTTTTTACTTAAAAGAATAACTAAAAACAAACTGGTTATTCAGACTTGGGTAATTGGTAGACATGTTCTCGGAAATGAGCCTGTCACTTGAAGGAAAAGTGACAGAATTTGAGCCAATGAAAAAATTCAAGTTTCTAACTAAAAATTAGATTTTTGGGAAACACGGATCTGCCGCCATGAATTTGACACCAGTAGTCTTCTAATAAGGTTGGCGGTGATACTAACAAATGGGGTTGTGATGTTGTACAATGAAATGTGTCGGCGCTTGGAAGGTTTATGTAATTCACAGGCACGGTATTTCCCAGTGACCAGCGCTGCTGTTAGAAAAATACCACTCAAATACGAGATAGGCCAAGAGAATTCTAATGTAACAGAGGGCAAAATTTTTTTATGTAATTCCTAATTCTACATTGCAACTCACCTTTAAAAAAAACCTTAACCTTTAAACAACCATTTGTCAAGTTTTGTAGTATTAAAAAGGAATATCCACAATTATTTCAAAAGACTGTTAAAATAGGCTTCCTCTTCCCAACAGTACGACTGTTCAAGGCTGACTTTCCTTTGTATATTTTAGCCAAAACAGCACATAGCAGTTGACTAAAGTTAGAGCGGATATGGGAGCCCAGCTGTCTTCTAGGAAAGCAAACATGAAGGAGATTTACAGAAATGTAAAACAGGGTCAATTTTCACACTTTTTTTGTAAAAAAGCATTTTATGAAAAATATCTATTTCTATTAATATAATATATATAATAATTGCTATTTTTAATGAATCAATGCAAATATTTTTAAATTAAAATTTTTCCAGTATGGTAAATACTGATAGTGCTCACATCAGCAAGTTCCTTGGTGTGCTTTTTTATTTTTAAGCGTGTAAAAGTCCTGAGATAAGTTTGAGGACACCAGAGTGTTGGGTACAAGACGCCACAGTTCACAGGTCTCAGATGGTGAAGGAAGAAGAGTCCCTTGGATTTACTGTCTCATTTCTTGGGATTTGGAAATCACTGAATAGGGACAAAAAGCTGGTTGCCTGGAAAGCCTGGCGTCCCCTTCTGGGTCACCGTACTCGGTACATGGCTGTGTACCCTGGCACAAGGAGTCCTTTCTCTTTGGATCGGTTGCAGGCAATCTCCTGATGGAAACACACACAGGACTAGTCAGCCTCGTGACCTTCGGCCCTCCTCCCCTCTGGGTTCCAGCCCCGAGAAGGCGTGCTTAGTTTTGCTATTCTTCAGTCCAGCCTGCTTGGCCATGTTGAGTCCTTGCCTGGCTGTTTCCTTGACCTTGCTGCCCCTCCTTCCTGCCCTGAGGCCCAGTGCCATTTCCTCCAGAAGCTTCTCCGAGGCCCAGCATAGGAGCTGTAAGCATCCACTCCTGCTCACCAGCTTCCTCTTTTGTCCCACTGCACTGTGGGTACTTCCTGTGTGACCCCATTGCTGACAACTCGCACACATCCCATCTTCCTCTGAGCTCTGACGAGGGTGGCCAGGTTCAGGCACACTTGGCGATTGTCTTGGTTACTTTTCTCTCACTGCTAAGACAATATACCCCACACCCGGAATTAAGGAAGGAAAGTTTATTTAGCTCACAGTTTGCAGAGGTTTCAGTCCATACTCAGCTGGCTCCAAGGCAGGGTGGCATGGCACAGAGGCAACACTTCAAGGCAGCAGAAGACAGCAAAAGGGGGAAGAGCAAGCCTCTTTTCCTCCCTTATTCTCTAAGCAGGCTGCCCTGCCCCCCAGGGTGGGTGTAGCGCTCACACAGTCTCCATGCCCTCCCCCTGCACAGGCTCAGGATGAATACAAAGTAAAGACCCTGGTGCCTGGTGAGTTGCTTAGTTAAACTGGTAAACTTCTCAAGTTGACACAGTGAGTCAACCATAACAGGGACACCCCCACCCTCGCACAGTGTCTTGGGCCCAATCCATGTTTACACCCTTAAGTTTTGTGAAGACTTGAGCTTTGTGTGGGTCCTTCCGCCTCTGCTTTTGGCAATGGCTCCAGTTCCTGTTTCCTGCGTTGCCCCTGCTCCTCAGCCATGGCTCCAAGGCAGCCTCCCATCTGGGCACTGGTGATAAACAGTCTGTGAGCACTGATGCTAGCTGTGGACTCCGTGCGTGTGTGTGTGTGTGTGTGTGTGTATATGTGTGTGTATGTGTATGTGTGTGTGTGTGTGTGTGCGTGGATGTGTGGTCACTAGTGTGGTAAGGGATTACTTCAAGAGAAATTCAGGTTCAGGTAAGGTGAGTGACTGTAGGACACACTAGGCATAACAACATGTATATTCTTCCTGTCAGTGAAATTTTTATAAGCAGAGAATACAAAAACTGACAGCAAAATCATTTAAAACAAAAACCACTACTTGACCCCTTTTTTAAACAAATCTCCAAACTCCAAACTTGCTTCTTCTACCCATTACAGAATCATAACCAGGGGGAGCCCGAGCTGCTCTGGTTGCTGCTTCTCAGCGCATTGCTTTAACTCCGAAGGACGCGTCTGAATCGGGGCCGTCATTCCCTGCTGTTCCATTCTGTCCTTTGTGTGGTGACGGTCACCGCACAGTGATCTGCTTTCCCATGCGTCACTGGCGTTTGTCTCCTGCGATCATGTTTATAGCGAGAGAGCTTGTTATCGATGAGCCTCCGTCTGTTTAGTTTGTAAATGTCAGAGGTTCCTGTGGTGATTCATTTAGGAAGCTTGTAAAGGTCACTTTGAGCACTGCTATTTTAAGAATTAGACTTACAACCTTAGAAACACATTTTTCCATTAAAATTAATTAATATAATTCTGGACTTTCTAGAGAAAGAAAATTGCATATGTAAGTAGTTAAAAATACGACCCTTCTGGCCTGAGGGCACAGTCCTTACAAAGGTTGATTTAGGAGAACTTTTATTTGTCAGTTGCTTGTTTATTGAGGGCAAGATACTTTCTGGGGGCTGGGACGGACCAGGAACAGAGTGGGCCTCGTCTCAGCTCTCTGAGACAGAAAGCGACTTGGCCACGTTGTGAAGCTGCAGGAGTGGCGAGTGTGCTCTGCGAAGGCTGGTGATGGGGACCTCGGGTGTCGGGGCTCCTGGAGGACATCCACCTCAGGCAGAGGGCAAGGCCTGTGGGAGCCCTGGCGGCCTCACATACTGTTTTCCAGGAACCAAAAGGGCCACGTAGCAAAGGATCAGAGAGCAGTCCGGGCGAGAATGGCAGTGTGGAGGAGACGGGGCTCGCGCAGGGCCTCTGGGCTCCAGAGACCAGCCCTGAGAGGCCTGGGGTGATGGGATGCACGCACCAGGAGGGGCCTCGCCAGGCATGTGTGGGACGGGAGCCCCAGCCGGAGCTTCTGCAGTGCGGGCCGCCTTCCAGGCCTTCCTGGTCCCGTGCAACAGCAAGGGCACACGGAGCTGTGGAGTTTCCTATGCTTTAGTAGATTTAAGTGGAAATAATACCCATGCCAGACAGAAGCCCGTAGTTCAGAGGCCGCTGCAGAGATGAGGAGAGGGCTCAGGACTGGTCGGCGGAGACGGGAGTGGACGGGCTCAGGGACTGCAGGGAGTGGAATTCAGGCCTGGGAATGCACGGGTGTGGTGAGCGACACGGGGAGGGAGTGGGTGACTGTCTGTCTGTTGTGCTGCTGGGAACTGGAGCCGTTACCAAAGCAGAGGCAGAAGGACACATACAAAGGTCTCACAAGCGCTGGGCAAGCATCCGACCCCTGCCCGCACCCCGCACCCCTGACAGCCTCGTGGGGAGACCTGGGCGGGGATGAAGTAGGGAGCAGAGGACGCTGCGCCGTTCCCAGCCCGTTCAGACCCGATGCCCACACAGATGTGCAAGGAGTGCGCACGGCAGGCGCAGAACGTGCCTTCATCACTGCGTAAATACTGATTTGCTTTTGTATAACTGTGTCAACAAATGTCTGTAACAGATAAAAGTTTGAATTGTGAAATGTAGAACGCTATCTTGTAAATGTTGAAATTAACTCTAGGAATGATGTTTCAGACAAGTTGTGTTTCTGGTTTTGTAAAGAGATGCTTTAAAATTGAAAAATTAATTCGAGCCGTGGATTTTACGTATGTTACGGCAGAGAGCAGGCAGACCCAGACGTGAGCCCCGCGAGGTGTGGGAGAGCCGGGCCTCGCCCGGGCCAAGGTCACCGGCCTGAGCCTCCGCCCTCTGGCTTCGGAGGAGGACCCCTGCCCGCAGCTGCAGGCGTTGGAGCTGGCATGGCGAATGGCAGGGGGACCTGGGGTGGAGGTCAGGAGGGAGCTTCGGGCCCCCTTCTCCTACTCCGCCACCCCGTCAGTTTCTGGCCACTCAGATTGTAACACTGAAAAAAATAGAGGAAGAACCTGAGGGGCCCCTCACTCTGTTCCAAGTCACTTTTTAAAAAGACGTGCTAACATTCATAGCTTTGACAGAATTTCACATTATTCAAGACAAAAAAAATACATTTAAATATATGCTGTGAACGTTTATTTGGTGCTTTTCCTAGAAAACCAGATTTCTAGAGTGAGGGCGACTGCATCTCTTTGTCTCTGTGTTTACGGAGCCTCTGTGGCCATGCTAAGACTGTCTCCTCTGCCCAGCCGTCCCATCTCCTCGTCTCAGCAGACCTTTCTGACAGCGGGAGATTGGTGGGGCTCAAACGTAGCACTGAGCTGCAGTGGACGTGGGGGTTTGCGTCCTCACTGCTAATGTGATGTGCCGCATCCTGTGAACTAAGGCTGCGTCACTGAAACTCATTTCCCTCTCTTTTCAGATCACGTGTCAGTCGGAGGACTTGGAGACAGCTTTTATGAGTATTTGCTCAAGGCATGGTTAATGTCTGACGAGACCGATCTAGAAGCTAAGAACATGTATTTTGATGCTATTCAGGTAACCCAATATTTAAATCTTCTTCATTTCTAACTTGTAACTTGCATATTCATTAAGCATTAATGAAAAAAGTGGACTATTACATGAATGGGTTACCAAGTATTTTCTGTTAAGAGTTTGACATCTGCCGATATAACAATAATAATCATGCTGCATGTATTTCATTCCAGTGGGATAGTTGAAAGTTTTTGACATGGTCATTCACTTAAGAGTCACTGATTACCTGAAAAAGTGATGCAGTCAGGAGCCGTGTACCATCCAGTTAGGGACAAACTGCACATGTGACAGTGGGTTCCAGAGAACTATCCCCTAAGACTGAGCTGACTAAATTGCCCAAGATTGCAGGCAGTCCCAGAGTGAACTTGTCTTCAGAGACAAGTAGGCTGGAGCATAAGGAATCCACGCATAAAAATCTGAACAGACTGATACTTAAGTCCATGAGTAGTTTCCAAAGACCTCGTTGACACAGGTCTGGAGGGAACACTCCTGTTGAGCTTCCGGTGGGAGCCAGGCAGGGAACAGTCTGCATTTCCAAGGACACGGAGGCCTGCTGTTCTTTCTCAGTGCTTCGAGTAATGTTCACCCAGTTTTCCAGGTGAGGCTGTTGAACCTCACAGAGGTTGTGCATGCAACCAAAATTCAGAGTAAAGTGTGTCAGCATCTGTTCCTTTCTGCCTCAGTAGGGATGGTTTGTGGATAAGATTCCATGCCACCCTTGCAGGTGTACTTACAGGCAGTAAGTTAGGAGCTACTCAGCAAAGGCTGCAGGGGACAGCCATTCTGAAAGTAAATGTAAGGATCATCTCAACTAACCTCAGTAAGAAATTAAAATAAGGTTGGAAAACAATTTCAAGAAAAGAAGTGTTTCACATAAAATACTGGAACTTATACCCAACTTTTAAGGAACACAAATATTTAGCAGAATCATGTGCTTTGTGAGTAAGAGTTTATGTGGGAGCCGGGCATGGTGGCGCACACTTGTGATCCCAGCACTCAGGAGGCTGAGGCAAGAGAATCGTTCCGAGCATGAGACCAGCCTGGGCTACGAAGTGAGCGCAAGGCCAGCCTGAACTGCACGGCGAGACCTGCCTCAAAAAGGCAAGCTGGCTTGAGCTGGTTAAACAGCTGAGTGCTCGCTGGTTCCCTCAGGTCCACTGGCAGCCTCAGCCGGCGAAGCACAGGCTGCCTTTTGCTGCTGTGCTCGAAGGTTCGGGCCCTGGCCTCCCCCGGGCCAGGACAGCCTGCGTGGGGACGTCAGAAGCAGCGGGGCTGTGGCCCAGGGGGTCTCCTCTTGAGGTTTGTTACTCCTGTGAGGGCTCAGGTTTGGATCTAGTGAGTTCTCTGCATAGATAGTTTCCACGGTGCCCTCTTCTGATTGCCCTACTTAGACATTTTAATCATCCTCAGAGTGGCCTCTGTGGCCTCTGCCAAGAAAGGGGTATTTTCCTCCTAGTGTCTAGAACTCTGCTTGTGCAACTTTCAGCATTTTCTGTTTAGACAAATCCTTGACAGCAAAATCCATTAAGAATAAATAAATGAGGTCCAAGTATTTCCTGCTTCTCTTCATAGTGAAAACATTCCCTATCCACTGTGTATTTCAGCGTAAGTAGTGAAACTAGAAGCACTAAACTTGTGATTTGAGAAGTAGCAATGCCTTCCATAGCACACCTTCTTTTGCTGAGGTTCAGGAGAGCACCAAGAGCCAGGTGGCAAGGTGCACACTTGTAGCGTCAGCTATGCAGGAGGCTGAGGCAGGAGAATTGAGTCAAGGAGTCAAGTCCAGGAGTCCAAGGCCACTCTAGGTGACATAATGAGATCCCCACCTCACAAAAAGAAAAGTAATCCTTATCAAGGAGGATGCCTTCTGTGATTGTTCTGGACAGCTGGCATCCTGGAGGTGTGGGTATCAGTATTAGCTCCTCATAGGTTTCGGCAAGTTCTTTACTCTAGAGGGACTGCTTTTATTTTTTTTTTTTATTTTTTGTTTTTTTTTCTGGTACCGGGGATCGAACTCACGACCTCGCGCTTGCTGGGCAGGCGCTGTTCCGCTGAGCTAAGTCCCCAGCCCAAGTGACTGCTTTAATAACGAAACACTTGAAGTGTTCAGCTGGTGGTCATGGCCCTATCTAGAGGCCACGCTAAGAACCCACTTGGGCAGATTATATATCAGACGTTTAAGATTCTAAAGGCTCCATCAACCTAATGATTTTCAAATACGAAAGCATCAAACTACAAAATACACAGTATGCTTCCTTCCCACTCAGTTCTCTGTACCCTTGTCACAAAAATTTATTAGAGCCACTAAAGACTATTTTTTCTTCTTCGTATTTATTTACATTTCCTACTTCCACACAAAACCATTACTTTGAAGGTCTTGAAACTTCACTGGAGTTTATTTTCACAGGTAACAAGTCTGTCAGAATTGTGCCAAAAATCACATAGTACTTTATTCAAGATCCACACCAGGGTAATAATGTTTCTCTAATCTGTGCTCAAAAGCCATTACTCTTGCCATGTAGAAAGAATAATTTCCTGGGTGATGAACAGATATCTGCTTGAAAGACTTTATTGCAATTTGTGTTATGAGATGTGTAAACAGCTAAGATGTTCGGTTGCATTAAATAAGAATGAAATATTCATGTAATAACTAGGCCATCAATAAAACTAACTTAACCACAGTTAATGAGCACGGTAGTGTGTTCATTTATTTCTAACTGCCGTAGTTTCATTTGTTTATTTCTAATAAAGATAGGAAAGGTTTTAGCTGCCTGTGTATTCATTTTCATTCATTCTTCTAGTATTCCAAATGTGATTCTTTCAAACCAACCTTTTTCTAAAGTAAGGGCAGGTGCACATATGATCGTAGCCCTTTTCCATCTGTGATGTAAAAAGGGGCAGGAGGAATTTTCTGTGAGATACTGGAAAGTAATAATTCCAAGCACACTTCATTTTTGCCTTTAAAATACAAGGTTTATTATATTTCTCTACTTTTAAAGGAAATCCGTTCTTGAGCAGAAATATTTTATAAACATTTTAAAGCATTATCATTTCTCCCAGATTTAAAGACCTTAATTCTTTTTCAGAAAGACTTACTGTATTCTACTGTGCTTTTTCCCCTTTCCCTCCACCTCTTTTATTTTTCTAGCATCAGATTCATTTAAGACCTTACAAAGTTAATGATAATATATGTAATTGAAAACCAGACTACAGGGCCAAAGAGCATGTAACAGTGTAAGACACTGAGCTAAGCCGAGGCCTTCTGTGCTTTGTCGTAGCAAGAGGAGAGAGGACAGGATTCCAGTGTGTGCACAGTGGAGGGGTAAAGGATGCTGGCCCAAGGCCTGATGTAGCAGGTGTGGGTTTCCGTTCTGCCGCTCTGTGCCCACCTAGCGCTATTCCCATTTCCTGTCTAAGGGTAAGAAGCACCTGCAGAGCACAGCAAGGCCAGCCGCCCAGAGGGGTCCCCGTGGCCGGAGCTTACTGGCCACTGTCTCCCCTTTTGGCATCGGCCCGCAGCCCACCCATGAAGCCGCCTTGATCTTGTGCCAAAGGTTGGTGTCAGCTGCAGGGCTCAGCTCCATCTCGTGACGATCCCGTGCCAGAAGAATTGAAAGCCACACTCCCTGTCTGGCATCAGGCGCAGGGCTCAGGGCTGCCACTCTGCCCCTACTGTTAAGGACTGCCGCTCCCAATTCCGCCAGCCTTGTTGCCGTGCCCCGGTCTCCCACCCAGTGCCACCAGGCTGGCTCCTGTGCCCGCGTGTGCTGTGCTTTCACTCCGAGGTGGGGCCTGGACTTTGTGTCCTGTTTGCATCTGTGACTAAGTGACTAAGCCGCGTCACCACCAAATCCGTAGCCTGCCTTCCGTAGGGGTAGCTGTGGGGACCCAGTGAGCATTTGGCCATGGGCCAGTTGAATGCAGAAGCCAGATCATTTCAGGTTGAATTGGATGTCTAACTCCAGACTCAAGCTGTGAGTCGTATTTTTAGTAATAGTACAATACTGTACTGTAGAGCTTGGTATGAACTTCAGACAAGATTGCAAAACGTTGATAATCAGTCTTATTTCAGGCCATCGAGACTCACTTGATCCGCAAGTCCAGCGGGGGGCTGACCTACATCGCAGAGTGGAAGGGGGGCCTCCTGGAGCACAAGATGGGCCACCTGACCTGCTTCGCCGGGGGGATGTTTGCTCTTGGGGCCAAAGGGGCGCCCAAAGCCCTGGCCCAGCACTACCTGGACCTCGGGGCTGAGATCGCACGCACCTGTCACGAGTCGTACAACCGCACCTGTGAGTAGCTGTTGGCCCTGTACCGCCCGGGCCTGGGCTTGGATTTCATGCCACTCGCTGCAGCCGTGAACACAGCATCTACCCGCCTAGTGAAGTGCGATGACCGTGACTCACATTGCAGAGGAATTTTTATTTTCACTTGAAAAGGCACCGTTTTGTACCTTAAAATATACACCTGTAGTTTGCCATGTGACACATCCAGGCCATAAGCTTAAACCAGAGGAATTACTGACCACTGCTTTAGCTGAAAACCACTGAGTAAGAGTCTGTCCTAAAACACAAAGAAGCCAATTTTCTAACCCATTTCTAATCTCCCTGCCCCCGTAAGACGGGCCGTGAGTCTGGTGTTCTTTTTATAAAATACAAATTCACAACACAGAGGTTAAATGCCTGGCCCTGTGCCCTGAGGAATTCGCAGCCACTCAGCTTCCAGCTAACAAGACGTCTTGTGCTTGCGTTAACCTGGGGGTGCTGGGTAAATGGGGTTACGTGGGGAAAAGAAGGGAATGTTGCCAGTTTCTAAGACAGAATCTTCCATGTCTAACCTTAAAGCTGTGTTGTACATGAAATATTTGGTGATGTTTACAACCAGTCCTAAAGTGCTTGCGTGGGCATTGTCTGGAAGCTAGCCACGTGCTTTCTGGTGGACACTGAGCACTCCCCGGAGTGGTGACCCTTGCCCACCCACCCATTTCTCCTCAGTCATGAAGCTGGGACCAGAAGCCTTCAGATTCGATGGCGGGGTGGAAGCCATTGCCACCAGGCAAAATGAAAAGTACTACATCTTGCGACCGGAAGTGATCGAGACGTACATGTACATGTGGCGGCTGACTCACGACCCCAAGTACCGGAAGTGGGCCTGGGAGGCCGTGGAGGTGAGGTTCATTTGCGTGTTTCTTATCGAGCCACATCTTTGTGAAAAGTGTTCATCGATGCCCGTAAATGTGGCATATCAGCTTCCCGGTGATTTTTAAACATGCCAGAGTTTCCCATTCAGGACCAGGTGTTTCCACTTAAATCACTGCATATACGTGACTTCGGCTTTGCTGTATAAGTAACAGTGAAGTGTGGATCTACCCCTAGACCTGGGTGTGGGTGGAGCAATCTAGAAGGGGTGATACAAAGTTAAGTTCCCAGGGCTGTAGAGGGGATGACCAGTGGCAAAATTCTGCAGTTACTGGCAGCTTGGACGGAGGGGGCATCCTCTGTTGTACGTTCTGAGAACGCTTTTGAGGCATGTGATTTTTCCCTTTGGCCTTTGGGGTTCAAATTGACATGTGTACGTTCATTAAGGGTAAATCAGCTACTTAGATGTAACTTCTAGAAACAACTTAGGGAAATATGAGTCTGGGTCTCTGTGAGTGTCAGAAGCCTCCATCTGTCCCACGGTATCCAGTGTCACCTCATGGGCCCCTCCTGCTGGATACGATTCCGTCTTCTCGTCTGTGGGGCACTTGGGGTGCTAGGTGCCGGAGGAGCTGCCCTTCGGGGTACGCGTAGCCTCCGGTTCTAAGAGCTGTTCTGAAAGAAGGGAGGAGATTCAGGGGATAAAAACAAGCAACTCTTTAATTGCAGCCTCACTTTCTAGCGTCCTTTGTTAGAAAGTTGGCTGACTTTACAAACTGTCCTAGGAAAAATGTCTGCTGGGAAATTAAAATGAATCCTGCCCTCGTGGGAAATATGACTGTCTTCAAAAGTCTTCAATGAGTCTTACATATTCCCCTCTTCCACCAGTGTGTGTCTTACCACTAATCACGAGTCATTTGAAGTAATCATGTTTTACATATTTACGCATGCCAGGTTTTCCAGTTACGTTCAGTCTGTGGTAATTCCCGTTTCTTTAAATTCCTACTATATTTTTTTCTCTGGGAAAAAAAAGTGTTAAAATTGAGGCTCATCTAAGCTTTGGTGATACAGAATTATTTTAATCTTAAATTGGGCAGCAAAGGACTTAGGAGTTCAAGTCGAAAATACGACTGGAAATTGAAAATGTCAAGAAGAACCTCTTTCCCCGAATGCAGCACACCGCAGCGGTAAAAAGCGCCATCGTTCCCTGTGCCGCTGAGAAGCAGGCACTGCCCGCCGGGGGGCTTTGAAGGCAGAGCGGCCGCGGGGAAGCGCCGCCGCTGCGCGGGAGGAAACTGGTTTGGCTGCTTCTCGGGGGTACCAGGGTTGGCCTCCCCTTTGCCAGCCCCGTAGCGGGACCCAGGATGTGACCCTCTGTCCCCGAGTCACAGGCACCCTAGCTTTCGCCACTGGTGATCCCTGAGACGCAGTGGTAGGAGAGGGGTGCCGAGGGCTGTGGCCCCAGGACGGCCTGCAGCACTGCCTTCCCCGGGAACCTGACCTGCTCCCAGGCCCCTCAGCCCCGCGCGTCTCCGGGCTCTACTGCCGGAAGCCGGGTCGGGAAGAGGAGCACCTCAGCCACTGTGGCTTCCGCGGGTGACCACTCTGCTTGCTCAGGGGAGCGGGGCAGTGAGCACCAGACCTGGAGTGCAGCCGCCGGCCTCCTGCACCCCCACTGTGGGGCCTCCAGCCACCCGCCTAGCCCCTGTGTCTCTGGAAACGCAAACTAGGACCCCGGGAATCTTTCACCCGTGTAAGACCCAGCTCTATACCCTGGTCAGCTCAGGACTGGAAGCAGAGCAGATCCTGCCTGGCGCGGTGACCGGCCCGTCGTCACCAGGCCTGTGACGATGTTGGAGATTGAACCGAGCAGGGCACACAGTATGGGTGGAGCAATCTAGAAGGGGTGATACAAAGTTAAGTTCCCAGGGCTGTAGAGGGGATGATCAGTGGCAAAATTCTGCAGTTACTGGCAGCTTGGACGGAGGGGGCGTCCTCTGTTGTACGTTCTGAGGACACACATGGCCCCTGCACCGGCAGCTCCTCCATCCTCTCCTGGCCTGGCCTCCAGCCCTGTCCTCCAATCCACGGCTTGTCTGTCTTACAACTGTGCGTGGTTCTATTAATGTTTGCTATAGCTGTGCTGTACACTGGGTCTCCACGGCTTGACTTTAAACGTGCTTTAAAACTTCATGGAAGCAGAGAGCAGAGGGGCAGTAGAAGAGACCGAGGGATAGAAGAGAGAGGTAGATGTCGACCAAAGGGTTTTCAGTGGTAAGACGGACAAGCCGTGGAGACCCGGCGTGCAGCACCGCTATAGCAAACATTAAAAGAACCACGCACAACAAGTACATGAGTATGTTGGTCACAGGAAAATGGGTGGAACCTGACACCACACTGCAAAGTGAAATAAAACACAGAAAATTATCACATGGCTTCTCTTCTGTAAGAAACCTAAAATACAAATATATAAATGAGCAAGAAGAGCAGGTGGGAAATACAGCAGACTCTTTGGAGGTGGTTGAGGGAGGAGATAAGGAGAGGGAAGGGAAGGGACCCAGAACAACCAAGGCTCGCTGTGTGCACCGGTCCCCTACGCTGAACGCCATCGCTGCGATGTATTACAAACACGTTAACAAAGAACAAGTGTGTGACGCATGAGCTCATGACTTCGACTAGCTTGATCAAGGCGTTAATTTCACAGTGTGTGCATCAAAACATACATCCTTACCGTGTACAATTTTTATCTTAGTAAAGCTGGAAGAAACAAAACGAAATAAAGCAGGATTATGGAAGGAGGGACGGTAACCACAGTCAGCTCCTGGCAGGCAGCAAACGCAAGGCAGGGCGCTCTGTTACCTAGTGTTCATCCTCACAGCACCTGTCTCTTCCAGGACAGGTGCAGAAACAGGACACCACTGATAGCTGGGCAGTTGCTAGTGGATCCGTTGCACTTTTTCTCACACAGATGAAAGAGCGCACGTGTTTCAGGAGTAGAACCACGGTGTCTCCCTCCTGGCATTTTCTTCGTCTGGCTCTGTCACCAGCATCCCTCCTTCACAGTCTGCAATCAAGTTTTAAGAGATAAGATGTCCTGACTACAGTAGCGTTGTTTGGGTCCAGTGCCATTTCTCAGCCAGTGGTTTATGATCCCAGACACAGACCCCAACATCAGCAGACCCGCTGTGTGGGGCCAGACCACACCAGGCCTTGTCCAGAAACAGCCCAGGCAACAAGGGAACAGTGAGTGGCTGATTCAGGAAAAACGTATTGGCAAAAGTAAATCGTGGACTGGACTTAGCCACAGTCTTGGTTTGTTAAGCCCTACTGTAGACCATAGGAGAAAATGGTGGAAATCAGCATAAAATTACTCCACAACTAAATGTGGAAGTGTTCCATATCTTCTCCATACGTCACTTGGCTTTTCATATTTTATTTGCATTTCTGTTCTGATGTTTGTTTAACTTCACCCCTCAAACTTGGCAAGTTTCCATCCCACTTGAGTGCATACGGATCTTACCTGACCTGACGCTCCGTAACCCAGGTCCCAGCCGCTTTGTGATCTGCTTCTCTCTCTGTGACCCAGGCTCTGGAGAGTCACTGCCGGGTGGCCGGGGGCTACTCAGGCCTGCGGGACGTGTACTTGGTCTATGAGAACTATGACGACGTGCAGCAGAGCTTCTTCCTGGCGGAGACACTGAAGTAAGTGCAGTCCTGTCCGAGGTGCGGCTGAGGTTCCCGAGCAGATCTCCCTGGAGCTGTCAAACAGCACCAGGCAAGACTGGGTCTGTGAGATGCTTCCTGTCCTTCCTGGGTTTGGTGGCTCGGGGCTGCGTTGTGTGGCTGCCACACTGGTGACACCCAGCGCGGAGGACATGGCTCCAGTGCCTGAGAATCCCCTAGGGATTCCGCAGCCCTAGGGACAGGCGTGCTTCCTGCTGAGGTCCGGGCTCACACGCTCCTGTTTCTCTCTCCAGATATCTGTACTTAATATTTTCCGACGACGACCTTCTCCCCCTGGAACACTGGATCTTCAATACTGAGGCACATCTCCTCCCCATCCTCCGAGCAGATAAAAAGGAAGTTGAAGTGAAAGAGAAATAAAAGACATTTTCTGTTTTCTTCTGCTTCATTCCCTTCGCTGCATACCTTAAGGGTCCTTTCCTGGTAATCAGGCACATGACGAACTTCTATCAATGAGTCTATGGTTATTCTAAGTTCTGAAGCTGTTTTGCAGTCTTCTATGTTTACTATGAGGCAGAAGTACATCTAAGTTCCTCTTCCTTCCTTACGCAGCTAGTGAGTCAGATTTTGTTTCTCTGGTTTGTTTGAGTGTCACTGCAGGTCATCAAGGCGTGGTATCACTTTCCTTAACCGCGTAGAACGCTATTCCAGTGACCTCTTCATTACCATTTGATTTGACTGCAAAACTTTTTCCTCCTCTGTGAGGAGAGGATGTCTGCTTTAAGCTGTAATGTTTTGCCATGTTGCAAAAAGCCATAATAATAAATGAAATATTAAAAAGCTTTTTCCTTTTCAGTATCACATGAACATGGTTTGTCTATCCACCAGAGACAGATGTTACAACTGTGACAGCGTCCTTATGCGGGTCTATCATTCTTTGATAGGATGTCTCCTGAACACCCCTCACCTTGTACTTCAGATTAGAAAGTCATCCCCAGGGAGTCCTCATGCTGACCTCAGTTCATCGCGGCCACCGTACGTGTTGGTTGGTTGATCACGTTGCTGTTTCCGCATTGGGTGAATTTGTTCTCACTTTGCTTTAAGTGTCCGGTGTCATTTCTGGACCGCGGACTTCTTACTTCCTTCCATTCCCCACTCCACAGCAAGGTGAGCTCTCAGGCTGTGCAGCTCCGCCACGGTGGAAGGACATTTCTAAAGGGAAACCATGTCCCTGTTAATGTGCTCGCTTCTGCTCTAAACCAAATAAGTAAAGCACTCGGGTCTCTAAAGAGAAGGTGATGATTTCATATGGCTGTTAGTTATTTGTTTCCACTTCTGCTTAAATTTTTTCTTAAAGAAAGAAGCATTCCACGTGGTTCAGGCTTTTCAAGTTTGAAAAGGGTCTTTTCTCAGATGCAGTAAACTATTTCATTTGAAAGCAGAATTTCAGTAAGAGAAGCTCTGGCAACTTACTGATTCATAGTCAATTAAAGAGAGTCAAATAAACCCAAGCCAAATAAGAATATATTTAGGATGGTTAAATTAAACATGAGGACTCTTAGAAACAGCATATAGGAATGGACAACGCACAGTTTGTCCGCAGCCAATCAAAATAATTATTTGATTCTTCTAAGCATTAAGTTTTGAAAGAAAGAAGAGCGGTTTTCCCAAGAACAGATCTGGTGAGATCCTGTGTCTTCTTCCCGTACTGGTCATGTTTCCGTGGAAGGCCCGGCCTGAAGCTGTGTGGACGAAGGCACAAATGAATGTCCACCCTGTGGTGGTGGACGGACCTCGCCACCGCCAGGGGCAGCCTGCAGCGTACAGAGTTGCTGGGTCACTGTGTTTGTAGTTTAAAATGATCCAGGGTCAGCAGTTTCATAGGATTGAGCCCAATACTTTTAAATCAGTTGTTTTCGTAGATCTCTTTAGACAACATTTTTATCTATTTCAACTTTTACAATGTTTCAAAAGATTTCCTTCGATAGGACTGGTTTGTACGGCCTATTTTTGTTTGTCTTTCAGTACGGACATTCGTTTATTAGTACATCACTGTGGCCATGTTAATGCATCTGTGACCCAAAATAACTTCTACTCATAGCTCAAGCTCCCCTAAAGAACTGACTAGACAATAAGTCCTTCTCCCCAAATGTTTAAGGCAAAATACAGAAGATATGGCCCAAATTGGTTATATGTATTTATAGTTCTCATAGGAACATCCTTGGAGTAGCGGTTACATTAATGGAAATTTCTTCACATTTCAATGTGATTCAGAGGTGCACACGAAGCCGACCCGCACCCCTGCAGCAGGCGGAGTGTGAGGTCGGGCTGTGTGACCTGCAGCAAGCCCCTCAAGCCCTGGCGAAGAGACAGGAAGCTGTGCTACGCGTCGCTCTGCCAATGGGGAGAACAGGCTTTCAGTTCTAGAACTTGCCTTTTTTAAACTGAAGTCCCAAAACACCAAAAATGTAAATGAGATAGGAGATTAATATTATAGTGATGTAATTTAAAGTTCTATTTTGTGTTAATTATGTTAAACAACTGAAGTCTCTAGGGAGACACTGTCTTTCGTTCATTTTCACCAAAACTGCAGTTAAAATGACATCCGTATTCACATCCTTAAAGGTGAGCAATTTAAACCACTTAATTTTGTGTTTACACAATATGTTTTGATACATTTTGTGCAATCAATATTACACGTAAGTTGTACGCCAGTTTCAGAACTCAGTGATTTCATCATGACCTCTTCATTTGTATTACCCACTTTTTACATTGATTGTTTCTGATTTGTACATAAATCCATCTGTCATCTCAGACTTTATATAAACCTCTAGTGTTATGAGAAACATAATAGATTGACACATAATTTTTAAAAACTATATTTGTAAAATTTCTCTATTGTGAATAAAGTCTGTTAATATATCTCATGTGTTTTTCCTTTTAAGTCTGTTTATCTAGGGATGAGTGTGTACAGTTGAATGGAAATACGAGCTCCTAGTAGCAGTTAAGTAATTAGGCGCCATACCCAGAGGATCTCAGCAAGGAAACACTTCCCAAGAAAACCTCACATTGCAAATGATGTGCAACCTTTGCTTAATCAAATGCTTCTACAGGAAGCTAACCTAGATCAAGGCCGGGACCTGCAGGCCAGAGGCAGGGAGTTCCTGTCAGGAGTGCTGTAAGGCGAGATGCTCGTGCTGACATTTGGCATCTACAGAGAGCAGAAGCGTGAGAGCGTGTAGCTTTCTGCTGGAGAAATCGGGGAGCGGGAAGTCCATAGAAGGGGGAGCCAGACAGGCTCCGTGAAAACAGCCTGGGCTAAGGCAAATCAAAACCACTAGGTTTTCAAATTTTATTTTGTATTTTTGTCAGCTGTTTGGTTGCCCTTCCTGGTGCCTGAATTCCAGCCGGGGCTTGGCTAGCTCGTTGCCCTTCTCATGCAGCTGCACTGTGCTGCCGGCCTGTCAGAGCGGCTGCTCTGCAGATCAGGGGATGCGCAGCGCCGTCTCGCCCTATTATATTTCCTACTTGTTACATACTTGATGCCTTGTTTATTGTACATCTGACCCCTTAGTGTCTACACCCCACGAGAACAGAGACTAAGCGCGCACGCATGCGCACACACGCGCAGGCCCTGCTGGTTCCTTTTCCAAGTCCAGAACCTCGCATTGGTCACACAGTGTTCACTGGGTGAATGTGTGAGTGAATGAGCTCCACCCTGTATTCTGCTACATATTTGAAAATGGCTTTTAATCAGCAAGTTTTTTAAGTATTAAAGTAAATTTATATTTGTGACTGGAATCAGTTCTCAACAGATTTACTTAGATCACTGGGGTAGCACGTATGGGCCTGTGTAAAATACAAAAAAGAAAATCAAATTTCCTCCAACCTAAAGGTCACTTCAGTGTTACTGCTTACCTAGCCTACCACTGTTTTATATCCCTGAATTTCACAGCCCCTTCATATAGAAATTTTTAAAATAAACAACTTTCAATAGTATGAAGCAAAAGAATTAGTTTCTCAGCTCACAGTCGTTGAGAGCCTTCTGAACTGTCATTTGTAATACAAACGGCACCAGTCGCATTTACTCAGTGACAGATTTGTTAAGGTTTATTCTAGGCGTGACACTGTACTTCATACTAATCACCAACCACCCACATAGAAATAGGAGTGAGCAAACCAACACGTTAATTTCTGATTGCTTAAAGTTTTAAGCAAAGCTACCAAGGTGAATGACTTCATCACTCAGGCACGGCACGCACGTGTCTAATTACCATTCCCACTCCTGGGTGGTTCCTCAATGTGAGGTGGCACAGGAAGTCTTACTTAAACTCCTAAAAACTTCGTGGTCCGGAGGCCGACTGCCACTTTTCCACGCTCACGCCATGTGCACTAGTCTATGCATGAGTCAAGTTAGTTTTCAAGAACTAATTGCCCGGCATGAGATGCACACTCAAAGCCAATGTGAAAGTGTGGACAGCGTTGACTCCAACTCTTTAGTTTAAGCGGAGGCCGCTGGGGGAGTGCCCCAAAGTTAGGCACTGCTTCCTGTCCCTGCTCTGTGCTTTCACTCAGGGGCATGGTACAATTTTGTGCTAATGAAAAAGAATGAGAGGAAAGCAGAGGCTGAGTCCAGCCAGCCTCTCCAGAGTAAAGGTGTGGATTCCAAGCTCACCCGCGGCAGAGGGTCTTCAGGTGGGCTTCTCTCCTGAGATGTGGGCTACAGTTCACCTACAGCAGTACATTTTGTAAGGCCGGTTAAAGTCCAGATTCCAGAGTCTTCCCCCGAATTTAATCAAAGCTGTGATGAGGTCCTGGCATACCCATATTTTACTGTCTCTTCGCCTTACTCTGCAGGCGTTGAGAACCCCAATTTTAAGGTGCAGGTGGATGGAAGTCCCAAGACTAGCAGAAGGATGAATGAATGAATCTGTGAGTCATGACAAGCGTATGTTCTTTCTCTGTACTTTCTATCTCAAAGTTTAAGTACAACTTGATGATTTTGATCACCTCAGAAATTGATTCATCCTTTCACAAAAGCAATCTTGAGGAATGAGCCTTACACCTAAACCTTTTAGAAACACATTCACACTGAATTTTTAAACATAAGTTTTTCCAGTTAGGGGACTCTCAAAAACATTAACTTCAGTCATGTTTTTACTCCACGATTATTTCCTTTGCTTTCTGCCCCCAATAGCTACTTCTAAAGTCACTTCTCCAGGTGATTCTTCTGTTCTTGGTGATTAGAACATGACTATCACTTGCACACCCTACACAGAATTCCTAGCTGTCTCTGTGTCATGAAAATTATATGATATTCTTGGAACATTCTTCCTTTCCTCCTGCCCCACCCACCTGGGGCTTTCACGTACATTTCCACACTGTTCGTCAGAGACCTGGCCTGTCATTAGTATGATCATTTGAAATCCCCTTAGAACATACAATTACTTATTTAATAAATTAAATTTGTGTCACAGATCAATTTAATTCTCCAGTGAATGCAAATTACTATGAAACATTAGAAAATAGTCATAGATGCACAGATTTTTAAAAAACTTTCCCACGTATTTTGGCCTTAGGCTGTGAACACAAATTAATTCACGGTTCTACGAACAGGGCCTTAACTGTACAGCTTTTCCAATCCCATTTTTCAAAGTGATTGGCACCTGGGAGTTTTCTGTTTGGTTTGTTTTGCTTTGTTGCTTTAACTTTCTTCGCAGAAACCAGTGAATAATCATTCCTAGGCTCTCTGGGAACTTTGTTCCGTACTTTGCAACTTTTGGAAGTCTGTGGAAACAGAGCACAGGTTGGGATCGCATCCTCGAGCTGGGGTGGGGACCTCCTCACCAGTGTCCCGAGGCTAGGATAGCACAGTGTCCCAGCAGGAGAGAGACAGCTTTGCGAGTCATGACCCGGTGCACTCTACTACAGGACAGGACGGGCAGCAGACGACCTCTCTTCCTTCCTTTCCACTCTACCCTTCAACAGCATGCTTTAACTCACTGTTAAGTAAGCCCAAACCGCATTTAACTCCTTTGCCATCTTGTTTTTACCAAATGGACACCTTTGGGATTTACATGGTCTTTGCCAGGGCTGCAGAAGTATATACTATCTAAATGTCTCTGTATATATATAAAAGGTCTCTTTTCTGCATGCGGTGCAGTACAGGAGAGGGAGAAAATAGGTGCATTTGGACCAATGGGGAAGCTGAATTCGCCAGCAATAGAGACCGGATTCTGCACAGCTGAGATCAGCTGCCTGTGGGATTTGGCTCTCAAAGTCCTGCTGTCTCAGCATCATCACTGGTGAAATGAAAGATGTGATAAGCCCCAGCGAAGCCACTCCTGTGCCTCAAGTGACACCTGCCCAGACACCCAGGCATGAGACAGCAGCGCACACACCGAGAGACCCTGCCCCTCCTACAGACAGCAAGAGGCTCATGTCCTCACCACAAAATGGGGACCATCACATCTCCTTTCGAGAGAATCAACAGCTAATACAGTACAGGTCAGCCTTTCCTGACCCAAAATTCCAAAACTGAAAATGTCTGAATATTGCAGCATCCCAAGGGCTAGCATGACACCACAGGTGGAAAGTCCTACACCCTGAAACTGCTTGACAAGGGACATTGTTTAAACTAGTGTACAAAGTGCCCTTGGGTGATGTGTCTAAGGTGCATCTGTGTCCCATCCGCAAGATTGCTCATTGTGTGGATGTGGGACATTTCACGAATGTCCCCAGGCCGAGCATTTCCTATAAGGGATGTGCACCCATGCAAGGAGGAGGCCTTAGGTCTGTGCCAGTAAAGGAGGCACTGAACTCGGCTCCCACTTAAGCTCGCGTTGCATGAAGGACTTGGCTCTCCTGCACCAGGGGAAGCTTCAGCTTGCTTTGTTAGGACAGCACATTCACTATTATTTCATGTGCTGGTTCCAGCTACCCTCGGCTTTCGAAGATGCCTTCTTTAAGCCAGGCTGCCCCAGCCAGGTGCTACTGCTCAGAGTCTAAGGCCAGGGTCCAGCTCCTGCTCTCTGACCTGCAAAGACAGAAAGAGCCGGCTCTGTCTCTCCCCACCTGTATCCTGGGCTGATATTCCGTGTATTTTTACTGAAGAACAGAGAGTGTTCTGTTAGCATTTGTAGCAGAAAAGAAACTGGATTAAATTGCACAATTGACACACTGGTGAGAACACTCACCAGTCGTGTCACTGGTGTCTTCAGGTAATCCAGTGAAAATCAAACAGCAACTGCAACAGTCAAGAACTCCTTTGAGATTGAAGGACAATTTTATGTCCATCCAAGAATAGCTTTGGAGACCAACAAAATCAATTTTATGAACTGGGAAGGACTGCTGAAGTAACTCCTCTGAAAGAGCCAGTACAGCTTCCCAAATCAGCTTATCTGTTCAGTAATCACTTACAGTGACTTAAAACGGACCCCTTCCGGGGGAAGATGAACCGTGATTTTGACTGAAGCTCCCTTCCTGTTTGCCACGCCACCCTTAGCTTCTACAGCACTGGGGACACGACATGTGGCAACGGTGCTCACCTTCCCGGCGCCGCCCTCCCTGGAGGACAAGCGAGCCTCTGCCGCAAGCGTGGCCACCACTCTGCTGCACTCTGCATTCACAGCTCCCCTAATGCACCTTCCACTCTTCCTGGAAAACACCTGCTCCTGTGCTGTACAGTTTGGACCTTAAATCCCCCACAAAGACCCACGAGCTGAACATCTGGCCGCTACTCATGGAGCTGCTGGGGGGAGGTGTGGAGCCTTGTTGGAAGGAAATGAAGCTGCCTGGGGCATGGGTCAAGGGGGACACTGAGGCCCCAGGCTCCTCCCTCTCTGAACTCCCTCTTTCTCATCGTCTCTTCCACCATGAGCAGTTTCCTCTGCCATCAGCTCCCACCATGAGACACTGTCTCAC